TTTACCATATGATGTACGTTTAGCTCTAGTTACAGGGGCAGGCTCCGCATCATTATCATCCTCATTATCAGAGTTATAGTCTCTTGCTCTCTTCTCAAAAAGCTTCTTCATTTTGTTGTCTATTTTTACTCTTTTTTCACTAAATGGCGCACCCTTTTGCTTCTTCTTTCCCTTACCCCCTTTCTTCCTGAGCTCCATCTTTCTTTTCCTAAAATAATTTGTAGCTTCTGAAACTGACTGCAATTCTTCAGCCATAATGTTCAATCGTGTGTTTACACAGCTTAAGCTGCAGCATTAGAAGTTAGGGTCAGTTTTGTCTGCTGGTTCTGCAACTTGAAATCTTAATTAACCAAGGAATTCTTACAAGAAAAAGGAAACACAGCACACAAACACAACTACAACCTAGATAGGCATAAGCATAAATTACCAATAATAAGAATAAGGTTTAAAAGTTTTGCATCTACAGAATTAAGGGTTCAAGGTTCAGACGGATACGGGATAGTGCGTTATACTATTCAGGCTTTGAAATAATCAAACTTTATTTGCACTTATATATCTCTCCGTTCTCGTTTTGCAGAATCTAAATGCATAATCAATACACACGAGCAAAAACAGATAAATACCGAATACGCAAAACGCAGAATAATATTGGATAACTTAACAGAATCTCAACTCAAATATGTGAAACTTATCAAGCATAGAACACACAACATCAACAAGCAGAAACTGAATTCACGGGCTTCAACAAGCAGAAATCATCCTTCGAACTACTCTCGATTCAATTATAGTTAATCTACAATTGTTTCTTTTCAAAAAAAAAAAAAGTTAATAACGATGGAACTTACCTGACGACGAGCAGCAGCAGGCGGCAACCGACGGTAGAGACTCAGAGCAGTAGACGGCAGTTCTCAGTCTCGGCGGGTTGAGGGTTTTGGACCTAAAGAAGGCGAAAGAGTAAAGTGGGCTGAATGGGTGTAATATATTGGGCCTCTAGTCCTACACATTAGAGATTCAAATGATTAATTTCAAATAAATTACATAAAAAATAGTCAAAAGTCATAGCAAGTATACACTTAGGGTCGTTTGGTAGAGTGTATAAGAATAATGCAAAATAAGGTGCATTAGTAATACTTGCATTAGTTATGCAAGCATTATTTCTTATACATTGTTTGGTTTGATGTATTAGAAATAATAAATCTTACATAATTTCTATTAAAAAATATATGTTTACAAATATACCCTTCACACTTTATTTATTTGTACACTTCCTTTGCAACAAAGTTCTTTGCTAAAACATCAAAAAAAAAATCTTTGCTAAAACATCATTAACTCTTCTTCTTCTTCTTAAAAAAATAATATTAAATAGTTGTACTATTGCATCAAAATATTTTTGTGGAAAGTTGGCAAATATTTTTTTTTTATCAAATTTATTGTCACAATAGTAAATTTTTTGATTAAACTATATTGAAATTGATTTATTTTTTTTAAAAAAAAAGATACTTAAGAGGTCATAAAGCCTATTAAGACACCAAAAAATTAAAAGACACCAAAAAGCAAATCAAAATAAAAACAAAAACTTATGACAACAAAGAAAATGAAAAGGCTTTAAGGGTAGGTTTATAATTATTTAATTTAATGCAAGTGTTAAAATGCTATGTATTACTAATACCTAGAATTCCTTGGTATTAGTAATACACAATAGAGTGTATAAATAATGCTTGCATTAGTTATACATGGAATGAAAAAGTGTACCAAACAAGGTACTATTAATACACACACCGAATGCATCCATTATATTTTCTAATACACTCTACCAAACGACCCATTACCATTTATACAATATAACTTACATATATATAAATTATACACTGATTATAATATTATAATGGACATATAACCACTCAAAAATAGCTTAATTACGCTCCATAGTTATAGTTTGCTAATTACGATTCGTAACTACATGTTATAGGGGAGGAAAGTGGCGAGCGAGATTGGTAGAGGGAGGAGAGAGGGCAGAGAGTGGAGAGATGCGATTTGTATATGTATATTTGTCAAAATAACTGTATATATGCAACTAGTATACATATGTATTTGAGAGGAAGGAGAGATGTGAGCGAGATTGGAAAGGGAGGAGAGAGGAGAGCGAGAGAGGGCAATAATTTGTATAATCCGTATCTCGTTTATATAATTCGGGGGTACAATTGTATAATTCACGTGTTTTTGTATAATTGAGTAATACAAAATCTGGAATTATACAAATATGATAAAACTCGAAATAATGAATTGATACAAACATAAACATATGAACTTTAAACAGTTATACAAATTATACTATATGAATTACATTATATAAATTATATTATATAAAATCCAAAAACTACACATTTTTACAAACTTTAAAAAGTTGTACAAAAAAAGATTGAATGTATATGGTGATAAAACTGAAAAACCAAAGGAAATCATCGTCATAGACAAATACAAATCAGACAAAGAATTGTTAGTTGCGAATTATACAAACATGACTAATTATACAAACTCGAAGTCAACCCACATAATTAATGGTTAATGTCAGTCGCGAGTGGTAATTATAACAATCTATAGCTATGATGACTAATTAAATAGTATATATTTGCTTCACCGCGTAATTTTCTTATTATAATACACTCACTAAATATAACTTCATTATACATGAAATATACCCTAACTTTTCAATTTTTATCTACTCAAAAAGTCACCTCTAAACAATCCCAAATTTTAGATATGAAATTGTAATTGGTTTGATTACTACGGTAGTAATTACTAGTAGTTACACTGGAATGCTTGTTTGCCTCAGTTAATTATACATGTCCTATTTGGATGCCACCTTGTAATTACACATGTTTTGTTTTGGATGCACAATTGCAATCATAAAATTATATTAAATTTTAAAAATAAAATTTAATTATTTAAAAATTTATTCTAGAAAAATAAGAAACTTTATAGATGATATTAAATTAAATATTTAAGATATATGTTGTTTTTTGAAATACAAATAACCAGCTAGTAATCACACTACACTATGTAATTATCAGCAATTATAGCCTCTTCCTATGAATTGAAGAGTGCAATAACCCAATGTATATCACACTCAATTACCTGCTGACCAAGTAATTATCTGACCAACCAAACAGAACGTACAATGTAATTACACCTAATTATACCAAATTTAATTATCAAAGTGACTTTTCAAACATGCCCTCATGTTTTAATTTTTTTTTATTTTTAATTCACTCGAACAATTTATAATTGTGGAATGTTAATTTTTCAAGAAAATAAAAAGAGAAGAAGATGACGAACAGCCATTTTGGGTAATTAACCCTTCTAAAGAAGAGTCATTCCCACAAATGTCCATATTTTGAGGTGATTCTTAATTTTTGTCTTTCAAGGTCTTACTTTTTTTTTCTATCAAAACTTTAAGTAAAAAGAAAAAATCGACAAAAATGCCTCCAACAAATATAAAATAATTTACAAGGCATAAGTTCAATGACACAAATTATACCTCAGAACAAAAGTTCAGTAACATATGTTATGCCCCAAGGCAAGAAAAATTATGTGTAAGACACAAGTTATGCTCAAGGCACAAGTGTAGCAACACAAGTTATGTCTGAAGATAAACGAAATCAAGCTTAAGGCACATATAATATCGCGGGACAAGGAAATTTAGTGGTCCAAGTTATGTCGCATAAGTTCAATGCCAAAAATTATGCCTCATGCCATAAACTTAGTGACAAAAGTTATGCCCCTATGCATAAGTTCAATATCAAAAGTTTTGTCTGCGAAATCAGTTATGTTCTGCGAATTTTGATCATAGTTAAAAATACTAGCCAATAATTTTTTTATTAAATGAGAAGTAAGGACAAAAATTAAATACTACCCCCAAATAGGATTGTTAAATAATGGTGAGGCTTTTCGTATGAAAAGTAAATGAATTAGAGATTACTTTTTGTCGTAAATCAAATTATATATTCTCTCTGTCTCATATTAGATGAGTATTTTACTAAAAATATGTGTCACATATTACTTGATCACTTACTAAATTAGGATAAAATTAATTACTCACTCTATTTCAAAATAAATGAATTGTTGAGACATTTTTCACAGTTCAAATTAACTTAATTATTCAATCTTCAAGAATAATTTTAAAATATTCTCCCATTTTTACCATTCATTTGGATTTCCTATGTGATTCAAGAAACTCTAATTGCTTTGAAGTATTGTGAGTAGACATTAGTTATCATAATCAATGTTTAGTCATCCTAAAGAGTAATTTAACAATAATTAAAAAGTAGGTTTTACACAAATCTCATAGTGATAAGAGCTAATTATATTTTATCCTTGCTCTTTTCCAAATTGCAAAAATTCCTTAAATTTGGTGGAATCCAGATACATTCAAAAACATCTCGATTTATCGCGTTCTAATTTCGAATACATCCCTCAACGCTGACACATTGCGTCATGGTTTCGTATACACCACTCAATATCCAGATACATCACGTACGCCCCGATACATATATCACGTAAAGTGATGTATCCGATTGATACATCATGTAAAGTGATGTATCTAACAAATACATCACACAAAGTAATGTCCCGATACAATGCGTATGTCCCGATACATCATAAATAACTAAGACTATTTTAATAGTTTTATAACTTATGAGATTCTTATGTTTATGAGAAAATATACAACACAAAAACTCAAAATCGCATGTCCAAACAAAACTTCAATTTCATATCATGATTCCATATCGCATGGTCAAACGGACCAATACTCAAAACCCAAACCCATTTCACACATACAAAAGTCTTGCCCCATATTCAAGGCTGCAAATGATATGCTACAAGGAGAATAACATACATATATATTTAGGAAATGATAAATAGTCACCTTGGCCTTTGACACTTGTGTTAATTCTTGAATCATCATGCTTCATACCACATATACATTTTTCTCTTTGTAAAACAAACACAAGATGGTTGATCAAACCATGTATGTCATTCCAACTTGCATTATGTTCATGTGAGGTACTCTCATTGTTGCATTTCCTCCTCTACAATTCCTCCTAAGGAATGCATAGAAGTAATTTATAGTTAGTTTCTTGATGAACCATGAATTTTTCTTCGCCCTTACGTCTCCATGTCCAAGCAAGTATGTAAATCCTGATTCACTAGCTTCGCGAAGTGCTGAGAGCTCGTATTCCAAACTAGGATCTTCATCTCCTGATGCTGCTGTTATTGATGGTTCTGAGATTGATGTTCCAATCTCTAATCTTTGATCGCGCATTAGTGGTACTTTAAGCTCATCAGAGTTGTCCCTTGGACTCACAACATTGTTATCAAACTGAGGTTGAGACTGTTTATTGGTTTCTAAAGCAAGATCAAGTGCTTCATTCCTTAAAAACTTCTCTAAGCTGTCAACCAAAAGTTGTTCAAATAAGTGATGGTCTTCTTTCCTGACATCTTTATAGCCATATCGAGCTACACAACGAAACATATGATAGTCCTTAGGACATATCCTTCGGAACAAGAACCGTTCTTCTTGAGGAACAACAGGTACTGGGATATGCTTGATGCACACAAAGACTATTACAGAGTGAATTGCTGGAAGGTCCAATAGAAACTGCGTAAAAATCGATGGAATGCCTTGAACTAGTTCATTATATAGTAAGCCTATCCCTGGTACTCTTACTGTACCTAAAGTACATCCAAGTTCATCCATGAAATTCAATGAGATTTTTTGCTTAACCTCACTTTGATATTTCAATACACTTCCATAGTTCCATATATACATCACACAAAGGAATAGAGAGGCGAAAACGAGTGGAAGCCAACCACCTTCCAAGATCTTTGATAAAACAGCAGACATGTATACAAGCTCCATTGTGCCAAATACTAAGGGGAAACACAAAGCCAATATCAAATTTGTCTGCCATATCAGTACCATAACAATTGTAACCAAAGTGGTCGTAACCATCATGACACCGACCTCAGCTATACCTGCAATAGAAAGTTCATAAACTCGGTATCATCAGGATAAACAAGGATCTGATTATCGTTGTGTAAAGTGAGACACTAACCGTATGCGTTGGCTATACTTGTTGTGCTTCTAAATGCAGCAACCACAAGCATGCACATTATCATCAAGAACCAATTAATAACTGGAATGTAGATTTGGCCCATATGCTCTTTTGAGGTGTGAATAACCTTCACCCTCGGGAAGCATCCGAGAGCCATGGCTTGCTTAACACATGAAAATGAAGCAGATATCATAGCCTGACTGGCAATTATAGCAGCTATAGTTGCTATCACAAAAACTGGCCAGAATAGAGTATCTGCTTGTTCAGATAAAAATCGATGTCAATAGAGCACTTGTTATAGAACACGGAAAGTGAATATTTAGAGCTCATTAGCACGATTATTACTTGGGACTGAATCATAAAATATTCTGCCAGCTGATTGAGGGTATTTCATAAGAAATGCAGCTTGGCCCAAGTAAGCCAACAGAAGGCAGGGGAACACCACGCTCGTGAAGGCAATCTGCACGAGACAACTTGCATCAGAAATGAAGCGTGTGTTGTTAGATATTATGTTAAGGCAAGTAGATAAATGTGAAGGGACAATGGTAAAAACACCTGTATAGACTTCACAGAAAAATGACCTAAATCCGCAAACATTGCTTCTGCTCCTGCACGTGTTGAATAATCGAGCATCATATTAGTACTCTACATCTCTCCACAGGTTTTACAGATGAACGTACAATAGGTTACGTACCTGTGATGCATAATACGCAGCCACCAAGAGCTGACCATCCGTTGGTCGAGTTTTTCTTGAAGAACAGATAGATATAAGCTGGATTTACAGCCCTTATAACAGTAACATCAAACTTCAGCAGATTGTAGATTCCTATCGACCCCAAACAGAAGAACCACAATGCTAGAGCAGGAGCAAAAGTGAAACCAACTTTACTTGAACCAAATCTCTGTATGCTGAACAACGCGCCAAGGATGATAATTGAAATTATAACAAGAGCATCTGTATGCAACGATCAATCACATTAACGGTTTTCCTATGCAAAAATTCCCAATAGTAATAATCAAAACATTTTGATAGAACACAAATAAATCTTAGCTTCTCAGTAGTAAGTCATTTTGGGAGTAACTTTAAAGATGAAAAAGCAAACTCAACCTGTGTTAAATCCCGGTATCCTACCCTCCAGTCCGCTAACAGCAGACATAACTGCCAAAAAATGAAAAAATGTCTTTTGATCTGTGGTCTTAAACATGTCATGTGGAAAGTTAAAATTAACGAGTTGCCAAAAAATAAACAGAGAATCTTTTTGAAACGGACTAAAAAGGGAGGTAAGACAGACAAATTGAAACAAAGAGAGTACCTGATATTGCTGGTGTCAAGATACCATCCCCTATAATCATTGATGTTCCCATCAGAACCAATAGCAATAGAATCGTTTTCAGCAACGATTTACGTTCCAATATCTCCTTTATATACACAGCCCTTTCTAGCTCTGGAGTAGGCAATCTGAGCTTAAAACTCGAGATACATTCATCAGCAGGCGTACGATTAGGAAGAAGATTGACATTTGCATACCTACAGATCAATGAATACAACGCAAACGTTCCTCCTACCACGTTTAATAAAACAGAACATTACATCACAAGTTAAGAGAGAATAAAAGATAAAACTTTCGGAAACTACTTATATACATACCTTCTCCATTGTCATTGGCCTTAAGCACGATAAACACATACTTCATTAGAGGAATGAGCGCGATTGTGTATAACACAATCGACAATGCACCTAAGACATCAACTTCTGAAGTGATGTGAACCTTACTGAATACATCTGAGAAAACATATAAAGGGCTTGTTCCCATATCACCATATACAACACCAAGTGTTTGAAATGCTAGAGAAAGAGTTGCTAAAAGAGGCACATCCTGTTTTTGTACAAGTAACACAAATTAGTCCAAGAATGTAATTAGAAAATACAATACGATACATTATAAAACAATACATAATAACCATACAAACAGAGCGTAAAAAAGTAAGAATGTAACTAGAAAATGTTGATAGTTCCAAAAAACAGGTACAATGAGTTACTTACAATTACCTTTTAAGCGACCTGATGGTATAAATATTTCTTACACTGTCAATCCATATAACTTATATTCTAGAGAAAAAAAAGTTAAATTCCACTATTATGTTATCAAAAAGATAATTATTATTCATGAAAAGTGGATTAACAACTTGAATAATAAGGATTATCTTCTATAACAAGTTTAAATACATTGATTATGCAATTTTTAATTTTTTTTTCTTTTGTCAGTACATATTAGTTAAAATTTCCTTTTTATTTTGAGTTTAAGATGCATTGGTGTATTTATTTAGTGGATTTTAACTTTATGGATTCGAGATCATGGAATTCTACCATAACTCACTTGATTTTAGGACAGAGGGAGTACTTATTTAGTGGATTCTTAACACAAATTTTATAAGATCTAGGTCTATCGAATTTGAATGAACTCATAACTTACATAAAAATTCCACTCATGATGTTACTACTACTACTCCTCTACGTCGAATGTGAAGTTTCTAATTTCAGAATTGACGATTTGAAAACTTCGTAAAAGTCCATTACTTTTTCAGAAAAAGCCTTAAAAACAACTATTTGAGCACTCCTCCAAAAATCACACTAAATCCACCCTTGCTGGTACATAAAATATTTACACAATCAGATTAACAACAAACATGACTTTATAACATGATTAAACTTATATCAAACAACAAAATTCTTTACGTTGTCAAATGCATATAAGTTTTACCTTTTTATGTTGGCTACCACCATTCACTCCTTTAATTTGCATAGATTCAACATCCAAAGAATCCACTCTTCTAGGCTTTTTAAGCCTTCTTCTAACAGATCCATAATTACTTTTTCTAATAATCTCTTCATTTTTATCATAAACTTCTTCTTGATTATCATTTACTTCACTACCATCAACCCATCTTAATGATCCACTACTTCCCCCTCCATTACTACCATTTCTTCTTAATAACAATCCTTCACTAATACTATTTTCTTCAATTTCTTCTTTACTACTCATAGTTGAACAAAAAAAAAAATTATTTTATTTAGTGTACTAAAGTATTATGACATTATTATTATTATTTTTGTTTTTGTATCCTAAAATCTAGTTCGTGTAATACGGGAAGTTTTGTTTGTAACCTAAAACGTGTCATGTAATAATAACAGAACAACGAATAATGTTTGACACTTTCCATCAACATCAAAATTATTAAATTCATTTTTGGTTCTTTTCTATTTTGAGTAAAAAATCAACTTTACCCGTAAACCCCTTCTTTCTTTTTATTTTTTTTAGAATAAAATACAAAAATATTTTTGCTATTGTATAAGGCGAAATAAGATAAGATACAATTTAGGGGGGTTTCACAGGTCGTTATTGATCAAAATTAAATATGTTTTTAAATTATTAAAAACAATTATGATATGAATGTTATCGATTTCGGTTTGATTTGATTTGATTTGATTGTTCGATTATTAACCATACACAAAAATATAAAAAATAATTCATTCGGGGGGGGGGGGGGGGGGTGGGGACAACATTTCATTCAAGAATTGGATCTTTTCGTGTCATTTATAATTAATCTTATAATTCTTATACCAGAAATCCAATTATGTTTAAATTTTGTGTTTATATTATTAGCTAATCCAATATAATGTACTAAACAATATAAACTTATTGAATAATGCATAAATTGCTAATATTGTTGCACAAATAAAAGAAGCATCATACCTTATTCTTTTTCTTTAGAGTGCTGCATATTTCGCATAAGAATTATTCATATATATATATATATATATTATTTTTATGAACAATTCTTATTTGGATTCGGTTAGTTCTTTGTGTTTTGAACAAAACCAAATAAATTATTATCTATTTTGAAAAATGTAAACCAAACCAAATCAAAATTGGCTTGATTTGATTTTTCAATGTAAATCAATTTGATTTGATTTTTCAATTTGAATCAGTTTTTAACCAAAGTGTTAACATCCCTAAGATACATGATCAAGTTAAATGAAGACACCTGGAAGATTAGATCAATATATTCTTACTTGTTGAATCAATTTGGTTTGATTTTTCTATTTGAGTCGATTTTTAATCAAACCGTAAACATTCCTAAAATATATGATCAAGTTAAATGAAGAAACATGGAGGGTTAAATCGGACAAAATTAAAGTTTAAACACTCGAAGGAAGAAGAACTAACATTAATCGTTACAAATTTATTATTTAACGCAAGAGGTTACTCCTTTGCCATGAAATATCATTTAATTACTCATTCCACATAAATTAAAAGGGAATGATTCTTGGGCATGAATTTCTAGGATTCACTCCTATAAAGGGAGCTTTACCTTCATTAGTTTGAAGTTTCAATATATTCTTACTTGTTACTAATTTTATCATTATTATCATCGATTCAAATCGCCGTATCTTTTAAATCACGTTATAAATTTAACTGTACCTTTTTAAAGGACAATTGTGTTCTTGTTTTTGTTTTAAAATATCAATTAACTAAATGGTTGGAACTAGTAACATTGATCAAATCAACATCAATTTCAACCCTCTCTTGGACAACCCCACCAATGATGAAGTTTATCTAGTCACTTTGATTCAAGTCTTTCGAAGGAACATTTCGAAAGTTAGAGGTTTCTTAAGTTCTTTCCACACTAAGGAATTGATCTTAACATTCATGTACAATTAGGAAATTATTCGGTTCAGACATATATGCATATAAAGAATGATTCAGATTTTAGCGTGAATTTGTGGAATATTACATTTTATCTTTCGAACAATATATTATACTTTTCTAGTATGACTTTAACATTTTTGGGATTTTCAATTGTATTTTTGCACTTCAATCATATTAATCGACTGACTTTAATTATATTATTCAATTTTTGCTTAATATATACTTTGCTTGTATTATAATTATTAATTTGGTTCAGTCTAGGGTTCGCCTATTGAGTTAGTGATAGGTCTGGCACCATTACAATCATAAGGCATAAGTTGTACATTATATCAGAAGTATGATGAAGGGTATTTTTGTAAACAAATAAATTGTTCTTAAAATCTATTATTTTAAATATAACAAATCAAACACTCAATAAAAAATAATCTTAACATAACATATCTCATCATAACTAATCTCATGATAACTTATTATAGCTAACTAATCCTATCATAATTTGAATTCAAACCAAAGCGTTTCCGCCGATGAACAATTTTTTTGTGAGAGTAATCAATACTAAAATTTGTTTGAAAAAGTAATCAACACTACAATGAATAAACTTAATTGTAGTAATATGAAGAGAGTAATCAATGCTAACATGAAAAAACAAGAATGGAAACTTGATGCCTCAAAACTTACTGTCGAAAAATTAATTGGCTATGGAGGTTTTGGGGTAGTTTATAAAGGCCTTTACGATGAAAAACAAGTCGCAGTATAATTAATTACTAGTTTTTCATTAATGTTTATACATATACTTCCTAATTTGTTTTTTTACACGTTTCTTGAATATTGTTGTTAGAATGACTATAGTAATTTACTATATTAGGGTTATGTTTCTTGAATTTCATTGTTAAACTGAATATAGTTTTCTACATTATACTATAGTTAAGTTTTGGAAAAATCACCCCATATACACATTTAAGAGTCAATATTACAGGTTTTAAATCTACTTTTAAAAAATTCTTGCTTATAACAGTTTAATTACGAGTTATAACATATCATTAATTATTTATAAATTAATTAAATTTTACTTTATTAAATAAGTAATTTTTTATAATTTTTATATTATTATTAAATTATTTAAATAAAGAATACCCCATAATTATCTCTTACACAATTATAGGAATTTACATTGATTACGGTTCCTTTTTTACAGTTACAAGTCACACCCACACACCCTACCTAAATCCCTCACCCCACGTCAATTCCACGTTAAAAAAAAAATAGAAATTCATCTTTCATCTTTTTCATCCGTACTCCATTGAACCCGGTTTTTCAACATCTAAAAACTGATTAGGAGAAATATATTCCATACAATCAAAACAAAAGGGCAGATCTCTAAGTTGTAATTTTCAATAATTTTAGCATTTTGGAGAAACCTCGTTTGATAATTGTATTGCAAGAAAGTTTATTTTACCATTTTCATGGAGGTGTTTTGAGGTTGATCCTTTCTGGGTTTTGCTGATTTGAGTTCTTACTACGTGGGGAACGGTCAAAAATTGAATCTTTATTGATTTTGCTAATGTTTTTGGGAGATTTATGGCCATGTCTAGTGTAGATTGGTGTTTATTATAGGAGGTAAAGATGTTCTTGAAACCTTATGTTGTTTGGACCCTTGAAAAGTACTGGTGAGTGTGTGTTGTGTCCTCCAAAAGTTAATTGGGTTTTTTACTACATGGGATATGGTTAAATCAATTTAGTAGATTTTTTTGTTAAAATTGTTATATTATGCATATTATTGGTATGAAAGCTGACTTAATATACGATTTATGAATATGGTATGAATTTTGTCTAATGTTGGCATGAATTATATTGGTGTAAAATTTGGTATAAAAATGGTATGATGTATTACTTATATATGGTGTGAAACTTGTTTAAATCTAGTATGAAGTTGGTACACAGTTTAGAGGAAATCTATTTTTTTTTCCAAATTATTCTTATTATGTCTACTAATCTGGCATGAAATATGAATAATATTGGTATGAAAGCTGACTTAATATACGATTTATGAATGTGGTATGAAATGTGTTTTAACATTGGTATGAAATTGATTTATTGTTGGTATGAAAGCTGACTTAAGTTGTGTATAATTTTTATCAAAAAATGGTATGATATCAGTGGTCCAATTATGTGAATTGATTGTAGTTTGTTAAATCGCCCATTTTTTTTTTTGTATAAATTATGACTAATGTTGGTATGAAATTGGTATTTTCTTATAATACCTTCTTTTTTATTTTATTTTATTTTATAATAAGAAGGTTTCTTTTTCAATTTCTCCAACTAGGTTTGATGGCAATGCGGAAAAATAAAGAACGATGATGGCGCGATCAGTGAGAGTGAAGTAACTGGGATTGTTGCTAGCAAATTTGATGGATCCCACATAGCAAAAGAACATGTTCCAGATACCAACAATTATCCTACACCAAGACTATGGAGATCAAATTTGAGATAGTTGATTGCAGCTTAGACTCTTTAGTATTTCATGTCTTTTTAACTTTTGAACGATATATATTTGTTTTTTTATATAGTTTTAAGTATGGAATGATATAGAATATGCACTGTTTTCTTCAAGTCAGTTATCAACTACATATGAATTACAGATTGATTCTCATAATTTCAAGATACTAGTTATATGCAGACTGCATATCAATTGGATACAAATTTTTGGATATCAATTATATACAAACTACATAACAATTGGATACATAAACAGTTTAGTTTTAATATTTAATTGGTGATCAAAATGAACACCATATAATTGGTATCCAAACTGTATATAGTTGACATCCAATTATTCATACCAACATTTATTCAACCTGAAGGATCCCATCTACCACCATGTTTAAATATAGATAAGCAATCGTTCATCACAACAAAATCAAGATTTTTCAAACAAAAAAAAAAACTTGATTTACTCGTCAATGACAACAATTCTGAAAAAATAAAGCGAAGAGAGGATAACGTAGAAGAAAATGGATAAAATTAGACTTTTTAATTAATTTTAACAGATTAGAGTGAATTAAGGAAACTAAATATTTCTAATTAGTTTGAATCTCCTAAATTTATGCTAATTAATAATTATCATCAATCAATTCAAATTTTATTAATACACCTATTTCCGTTTTTTTTTCTACAAAATTGATTTATTTTCCTTTTTTATCTTTTTAAATTTTTCAAAATTGATTTTTAATCCTTTTTATTTTTTTCAAAACAGATTTTTACAATTAATTAAAAAATCTTTTTTTATTTAATAAAATGTTACAAGATGAAATTTTTTATTGCTTGAAAGTTTTATTCTACTGCTATAACTTGAAAATATTAGTTTAATAAATGTCATATATGAAATTTTCACTTAAGTTTTTTAGAATATTATTGTTAGAGTGATTATAGTAAATCTTGAATAGTATTATTTATTAGAATGAATATAGTAAAACTATATATATTAGGGTTATGTTTCTTGAAAACTATATTAGGGTTACGTTTCTTGAATATTGCTGTTAGAATGACTATAGTTTGTTATATTAGTGATTATGTTTCTTGAATATTGCGTTCAAAAAGTAATATGTATTTATTAAAATTTTGGAAACTTTTAATTAATACACATTTTTTTTTGATGAATTTCAGTTAAAGAATTTAATTTGGGAGATGAAAAGAAGATTTCAATGGAAAAAAGGCAATTGATGGAAAAGGTATTCATGCATGAAGTTTCTATTTGGTGCAATCTTCAACACTCCAATATTGCTAAGGTACTATACCTACGTAATTAATTTCTCTTTTGATGTTATTTGTTTATTTGCAAATTAGCTGAAATATATTAATTTTGTGCAGGTCATTGGAGCTATAAAGAAGAACAATATGTCAAAGATTAAAATAAAATGTCAAAAATGTGCAAGACTACCAATAAATGGATGTTGCATAGTTGTGGAATATGTTGGTGGAGGTACTCTTCAATCCTATCTTTCCAAACATACAATGAAGAAGAAATTGCCTTTGGATACAATTATACAACTTGCATTGGATGTTGCTAAAGAGTTGAGTTACATTCATTCTAACATTTACCTTTCGTTTGACTATTTTTTGGACCACAAAATACCTATGTCCACATGAGTCATTTAGATCACTAACATAATAGTCCAACATGGCCAAAAAGAACCAAAATTGCTCTCAAACTATTGGAAATAGCTTCGTTCTACTCTCCATCTACATCTGGTATCAAAAATACACTTGCTATCTAGTTTTTGGTGTGGATTTAATGTCAGGATTTTGAGCTCTTATATGCATTAAGAACTCTCTCTAATGTAAAGTGACGGAAACTAATGAAAATCATCAAGATAAACAAACTAAAATATTAAATCAAGATGAAAACTTTATCCAGCACAAAGGAAATTATATTCCATCATTCAACTCCATTTGGCTTAAATAACCTAAAAACATTGTCTTTAATTTTAAAAAGATTGCAATAATAATTATAGGGCGTTGTACACTAATTAAGTACTCCTTCAAAATGTGCCCCATCATTTTCCTTTGGTTTCGATCACCCTCTTGGCGAATGATGGCAAACAGAATGATGCTTGGTGAATCTGGAGACAAGGGAAAAAGAATATAACAAATCAAAAGTTGAAGTGCTATAGATGTGAGTAACAAAGATTCAATCCAAGAAACAGAATGACAACATACCTCAGAGTTGTAGAACTTCAAAGGTTCAATGGTCTTGACAGGGCTTTCATCGTCGATGGGGTTAATAGGGTTCTTGAAATCAACTGCAGGTCCCTCAGTAGAGCAGAGCATGAAACCAATCATGCCACTGGAAGAGTGATACAGTCAAACCGGTATGTCAACAGCAGCAAAATAATAAAATGAGAGAGAAGCAACAATGTATGGACACCAAATAAGTCATACATACGCACAAATATATCTGGCAACGCTGGTTATCAAGAATACACGAGAAAAACACTTTAAATTGTTGATTAATTGCCTAATGGATCTTCAGTCCTAATACTCTTAACTTTTGAGTTATTAGTACCACAACAACATACCCAATGTAATCCCGCAAGTATGGTCTGGGACACAGACCTTACCCCTACCTTGTGGAAGGTAGAGAGGCTGTTTCAAGTAGACCCTTGGCTCAAGTAAAGTATTTCAAAGCAGGTTTGAAAAGGAGGTATCTTTGAGTAATTGGTATTTATCAAATTTGTTCATATCAATGGAACCTTATTGGAACAAATGACAAGAATATAAGTCCACCTTGGATAAGTAGGAACAGTAGTCCATGCATAGTTGACTGAGCCTTTGAAGATCTGGCGACAATTAGCAACAATTTCTTCAATTATGTGCATGTGAAGCCATATGCTCTCAGCCTGTGTAGCTACAACCCCTCCAGGACGAAGAGCCTTTGCTATAGATTCAAAGAAAGGCATTTCGAACAACTCCTGTGCTGGACCTGAAGTTGAAAGAGTGAAACTGTTAGGGAGCTGAAAATATTCATTGAAAAGGTAGTACTCAAGCAATGACATGATAGATTACCAATAGGGTCAGATGAATCCACTATGACAGCATCATAAGTTCCGGCAGGAACATTTTTCAAAAATGCAACTCCTGCAAAACAGGAGGAAAAAGGAAACAGCAAGAACTTATGTTAGTAAGTGAAACAAAAATGAGAACCAAACAGAAAGATTGAGAAGATAACAAGAATCATTGATTGATCTTACCATCACCAATGTGGAGATTCACACGTGGATCCTCATATCCTACAGCTACATCTGGGAAAAATTGTTTAGCAACCTGTCGGAAGAAAAGGAAGACGTAATTTCAACATTGCATGCTGTTCTCCAAGAGCTTAAAGCTAGTAAGTTACAACTGAGATGTCCTTAACACGAATTACATGAATTAGCACATCAAAACCTTTTAATAACAAGTAATACGGAGAAAGGATCAAATCTAGTAGCACTTCTGGACTAAGATCGAATATGCCATTAGACACTGCTAATACATGTAATTAGAAGAATCAACTATGTTCCTCTACCCCTAGTGGGAATGAAAAATGTCAATGATGACCAAAAGTGTAAAAAAGGTACCATTTTTATGAATTAGCATCAACAAGTCTGCTTACCTCAACTACCATTTTGTCAATCTCACATATGTCGATCTGTTCGACAGAAGAGTGACGGGATACCTCACGCAGGACACCACCATCTCCTCCTCCAATAACCAGCACCTGAGGAAAGAAGAATCAGCTTAAAGTTGGCACACAAATAAAAGAAACAAACAGCTCCAAAAGCTTTTGGCCATTATACGCCTGCAAATATAACTCTCTTCATACACAATTTCTGCAGAATAAGATTACAAGGAGCAAACAAACAAACAATTTCTGCAGAATGCGATTACAAGGGGTAAACAATCAAACAATTTCTGCAGAATGCGATACAAAAGGCAAACAAACAAACGAATGAAGCTAGTAAGGACGAATTATACAAACTGAAAAACAGAAGTGGATAAAATTTATAATCTATGGGCCTGATAGGCAATATGTCATAAGACCTCAAGCTATAACATTGAATACAGCCAAAAAGCAAACAAGATCTCAAGATTTTATACTTTCAAGTCATGACGGAGTGTAACAGACCTTTTTGGGGTTGGGAATTGAACAAAGAGGAAGATGAGTGATCATCTCTTGATAAGCACACTCATCCCTCTCGGTAAGTTGGATCACACCATCCAAAACAAGCACCTTTCCATAAGTTGATGACTGCACCAACAAACAAAATCACACAAAAATGAGCACGCAGCACATCAGCATCTTAAAAAAAGACAAGAAACTAAAACCTTAGTAGATCAACCAAATACCTGAAAAACCAAGACATTCTGGTAATCAGACTTCCCCTGAAACAATATCTTCTCAACCTTCAAAGAGTGTGCTTCCCCTGCATAATTCCTTTCCTGTCAGTAACCTCTCCCTTTTTGTTCACAAATAGTACTAGATTTCCAGAAAATAAAACTAGACCTCAATCCTGAACTAGATAGGAGGCAAATTTTCAAGTGCCAAGTCTCACTTTGAGAATTATACAGTAACCACCCACTCACACACTTACCCCCACAAAAATAGAACATTTACAAAACCAAAAACCCAACATACAGAACAAAGCTGAAACCAATCGCCAACCATCAAAACTTTGATACCCACAAGCATTCACGTATTCAACCCACCAAGAATCTCCCAAAAAGACACAAACTTGGACGCCCAAATAAGGAAAAACCCAAACTTTGATACCCACAAACATCATTAGAGTAATAAACCCCGCTAAAACCAGAAAGCAAGAGCAACCCGATTCCTCAAAAGAAGAATTTTGGATACCCAAATAAGAAAAATCCAAACTTTGATGCCCACAAACATCATTAGTATAATAAACCCCAAAACCCCACCAAAACCAGAAAGCAAGAGCTACCCAATTCCTCAAAAGCAGAGTTTTGGATACCCAAATAAGAAAAAATCCAAACTTTGATGCCCACAAACATCATTAGAGTAATAAACCCCAAAACACCACCAAAACCAGAAAGCAAGAGCAACCCAATTCCTCAAAAGCAGAATTATGGATAACCAAATAAGAAAAAATCCAAACTTTGATGCCCACAAACATCATTAGAGTAATAAACCCCAACAAAATCAGAAAGCAAGAGCAACCCATTTCCTCAAAACCAGAATCTTAGATACCCAAATAACAAAAAATCCAAACTTTGATACCCACAAACATCATTAGAGCAATAATCCCCCAAAATCCACCAAAACCAGAAAACAAGAGCAACCCAATAACTCAAAACCAGAATCTCAGATACCCAAATAAGAAAAAATCCGAACTTTGATGCCCACAAACATCATTAGAGTAATAAACCCCAAAACCAGAATCTTAGATACCCAAATAAGAAAAAATCAAAACTTTGATGCCCACAAACATCATTAAAGTAATAAGCCCCAAAACCAGAAATCAATAACAACCCAATTCACCAAAATCAGAATCTTGAATACCCAGATGCATAAAACCAAAGAAAACTTAAAACACAAAGCTATACATGAGATTAGAACAAACCAGGCCAAAGGGGGCTAATCTCAGAGAACCATCCAGGTAAAACAGAAGAGATATAAGGAGATGACTCCTCTTTCTCATTGGTGCTGCAACCATTGTTGTTGTTGCTGTTATTGGCTGCCTCCATCTCTGTTTCTGCTTCTTCCTCTCTTGGCCTCTTCACTGGCAATTCAGTTCCCTTCACAAAAGCAGCACACTCATCTGCCATAACCAAACCTTGTCTATTTATAGGCCCCAAAACAAAACAAGGTTCTTGAATTTAACCCTTTAACTCAGGTGGGATCCCTACAATTGTTACCGCAAATCTGAGGACTGTTCAGTCTTCTTCACCCTCTTTCTCTGTATATAGATAAAATAAAATAAGATAATAATAGTGGCACAAAATCCATTACATTAAAAAAAAGGAAGAAAATCTTTTATTAAAGAGTAACCCATTTTTTGGAACATGATTTTCAAATGATAGGTGGTGAAATTTTATGAGGTTAAAATTTTATTATATAGATCAAAATATAAATAAAAAATATATATTATTAAGTTACTTTTACTTATTGGAGTAGGTAATTTATTTATTTATAAGATTATGAATTTCATTATTTTAAGAACATTTATATGTAAGTATTTTTAAAGCTGCCTAATAACTCAAAATTATTTCTATATTAATATTTTTATTTATTTTCATAAAGTATGGATACATCATTTTTTTAATTAAAGTTAAAAAGAATAGCTAAAAGCTGCACCGTACCATTACTTATTATAAAGTACTAAAATTTATTAGTTTCTCTGTTCTAATTTATGTTATTTTATTGTAGTTTAAAATAAATTTTTAGAGAGTAAAAAAGGACGGAATGATATAATCTAAAATTAAAATATATTAAAAATATTTTTTAATTTATAAGTTTGAATATTTCATATAAAAAGCTAAAACTAAAAAATATTTAAAAGTAAAAATATATTTTTATACGATAAAATAAGATAACAAATTGAAATGAAACAATAAAATTGCAAAACATTCTTAAAAGTAGAATTACTTTATTATTATTATTATTTTATTTTTTGGTAAAATGATGGAAATACTTTAGTGATTATTGTAAAATGATGGGGCGCTCTATTCAACTAGGGTTTCTGTGTTTTTACTAGGTATCAGCTTTTGGTCAAAGAGATTGGGCCCACTAAATTCACCTAAACCAATATATAGTGTATATATATACATTGATCAGTTAAATCGAAATTATTAACTTTAATGATACTAATACTAATTAATTATATAATATTAATTTAGTATTAGTTAAGTGAAAATTATTAGTCTTAAGTATATGGGCTGTAATATTTTGAGAAAATAAATATTTCTTGAATTACTTTAGATTGAGGTATGACTATGTAATTATTTTAAATTTCATGGCCTATTAATGTAGTTTTTCCTCAAAAAAATCATAGATAGACATGGTTGAAAATCATTGCATTAAGAATAAAATAGATATTTTAAAGTTAAATTCTTACTAAATATAAAAAATATATCCTTTAAAAAGGACATACTAATAATAAAAGTGAATTGTATAAATTAAAATGGAGGGAGGGAAATATCTTATTATTTTATTTTAGTTTCTCATGCGGTGTTGGATATCTACATTGAAGTCCGACTATTTCAAATTCATGTTTGTTGGGCCCCATTAAAAAAAAAACACTCTTTTTTAATAATTCTTTTTATATCTAAAGCTCAAATTCAACACCTTTATGAAAGAGCAATCCCAATCACTGTATGGTGGCACAGAGGAAATATCTTATTATTTTATTTTAGTTTCTCATGCGGTGTTGGATATCTACATTGAAGTCCGACTATTTCAAATTCATGTTTGTTGGGCCCCATTCGAAAAAAAACACTCTTTTTTAATAATTCTTTTTATATCTAAAGCTCAAATTCAACACCTTTATGAAAGAGCAATCCCAATCACTGTATGGTGGCACAGAGGAAATATCTTATAAGAAAACAAAAATAAAAAGATTGCATCTACTTTCTACCTACCCCTTCACGTTTTTCACAATCCCAAACTTTAGTACTTTAGTCGTGGATGAATTCGTTTGGGTGTGTATTGTAGTTTTATATTATCTAGTTTAAGTTAACTTTATATGATAAATCTAATATATATATTAACATGGTCTAGCTAGTTCTTAGTATAAAATTTATAAGTTTAAATTTTATGCATAAATAATGTCAAAATATTTGTATAATCCTGTTATTTAAAAATATAATATAGTTATTCTACTTAAAAGCTAGCATTCATTGACAAGTGACAACCTATAATAAATGCCAAGACAATACGTATTGTTTTTTTTCCATGCATGTTGACCACTCTTTTTTGTTTGGATCTCAGTCTTTTTTTTTTCCTTCAAAAATCTACTCTAGAATAATGTTGTTTTCTTAAAATACTTTTGACAGTACATTTTGAAGTTAAAATTTTTAATTTTTAACTTTTTTAGATAGTGTATTTTAAAATTTGAAGTTATGTTTGTATTTTATTTTGAAAAAATTTAAATTTTGTGAGTAAAGGTGATTCCCTCCCCCCCCCCCCCCAAAAAAAAAAAAAAAAAAAACTTGTTTGGATCAATTGTTTGAACTTGAAATATTTTTGATAAATTTTTCAAAATTATTTGAAGATAAATTTTTAAAATTTATGATCGGAGGTTAGTACTATTTGGGGTTTGGACCGACCAAAATTGACAATGATTAGGTACGTGATTAACATGGCATTTAAAAAAAAAATTGTATTATGCTTTACACGTGACACATCACACATGGGCAGTGTTAAAATTATAAGGCTGCCAAATTATAAAGTACTCTCTCCGTCCCTATTTACTTGTCCATATTTTATTTTTTAGTTGTCCCTATTTAGTTGTCTATTTTGACAAATCAAGAAAGGACAACAAATTTTTTCCTATTATACCCTTATTTACACTTCTTGAAAATTGTAAAAGTGTATGTTGTTTCCCTCCAATTTATTTCACTTGAATTCAAATAAGTGATTGTAATTTTGAAGTGAAAAGTTGTCATAAGGGTAAAATTGTAACTTCACTGTGCTAATCATTGTTGCCTTAATCTGTGTGCCATTTCTAAAGTGGACAACTAAAAAGGGACGGAAGGAGTAGTCATTTTGCTTCTCCTTTTTTTTTTTGGGCTAAATTATGCATGTTCATGGTTTAGATAAAAATTGATCAAATTTATTAAGTAGATGAATTTTGTTTGGGCTTGATTTTATTTTTAAATTATCTTTTAAAAATTTGTGAAATTATTGTTTAAATTATAATTTAAAACTTATTTATGATATAAACATTTTTTTTTTTTGAAATTTGTTATAAAATATACCACTATTTTATTTTACTTATGATTAATTTTGTATTACCTATATTCAAAAGGTTATAAAATATTATTATCTATCATTTTCATTCGTATAAATAGATATTATGATTTTTATTATTATCAATGAATTTTTTTTGTTCTATTAATTTATTTCATTATATAATGTCACTAAATTATATATTCAATTAGTATTTCTCAAAAAAAAATAAAAAATGAAAACATAATATTTATTTTTAAAATTGTTATGTAAATTAAAAAACAAATTATGATTTTAAGAAAGTAGGAAAAAGATAAATGTTGATAGTGCAAAGATAAAGTTGGTATTTTAAAAATTCAATTAAGATAAAAAGGAGAAGAATGTCTATTATTCAAAATTTGCGGGGGGGGGGGGGGGGGGGGGGGATGAAATCTTGTTTCTTTCTTTTTATTACTATTAAAACAAAGAATAAGAAGAATTGATTGAAATTAGATTTCTATTAGAAGAACCTCTAAAAGTTAAACAAATTTTTAAATAGACTTTACCATTAAATTCCAATCAAACCCCCATAAGTAATTATCAGCACTAAACATTAAACAATGATTACTCCAAATTAAAAAGAAAACAATAGTCAATGATGCACTTTTCTTCTTTCTCTAATAAAGGGAAATAGCATTGCATATTTGCACGTTTGAAGGAATTTCATGGGTTTTTCATTGCTTTTTGCAATACTTTTAGAAGAATTTTTTACTTTTTGCATGCTACTAAAAAGAAGAAGAATTATTGACCGACAAATTTAATAATCAATAATAAAATTTATTACTTGTTAGATATATAGAGCAAAATCGATGAGTAGTGTACCTTATACTTACAACGGATGTTCTTGGTCAAATCGAATCGGTTCGGTCCTCATGGATGACCCGTTGTTCGCAACAAATTTTCGTAAGCGCTGAAAATTAATTGCAAGCAAAATAAATAAAAGAAAATGTGATTTTTATTGATGAATCTTTGTGAGTACAATTCTGTTGTTTTCTTGATTCTTCTCTCCTAAGTTTCTCTGTGATTCGAGGGCCTTCAGTAGCGTATTTCTCGAATGTAGGATGATGTAGACCTCCTTGAGATGTATTTGATCTCCAGGAACGTCGGAAAGCACTTTGTTGTTGCAAGTTGATCCCCGGGAAGAACTCCGTTGATCACTCCTTCGAAGAGCTATGTAGTTGATGTTGTAGCTTATGTAGACCTCCTTGAGATGTATTTGATCTCCGGGAACGACGGGAAGCACTTCGTCGTTGCAAGTCGATCTCCGGGAAGAACACCGTTGATCACTCCTTCGAAGAGCTATGTAGTTGATGTAACTTTCTCCAATTGCAGAATGCTTGTTGAAGTGTTTTTTTTCTCTCTAGAATGTCATGTACATCCCTATTTATAGTTGTAGAGGGTGGACAAGGTTGCATATGATTAGCCAAAGGATGTCATTTTGACACTTGGCATATTGTGATTGGTTCTTGCATTTGACTGGGACTACCACTTCATTTGGACATGTGACGTCACCTTGTTGGTCTTGGATGCCTAGTCATTGTGACACGTGGCATGGGTTTGGGCTTAAAGGTGAAATGGACCTTGAATTTGAATTTAATAAAAATGGACTTATTTATTTGTGAATCCCAAATTAATCATTCAACCCAAATAAACATGAATTTAATCCAAATTTTATATGAATTAAATCCAATAAAATTTGTGTGTCTACAGATGCCCCTACTTCAAGCCTTGTTGAAGTGTAGGTTTGCCGGATCTTGGTGACAAGACTTGAAGTATTCATGAATGTGTTTTTATTTTTTGAGACTTGTCAACGTGTAGGCTTGCCGAATTTGACGACGAGAGTTGAAGTCTTCATGAATGTGGTTTCCTTTTTTTTTTTAGACTTGTCAACGTGCAGGCTTGTCGAATTTGACGATGAAAGTTGAAGTCTTTATGAATGTATTGTTGAAACTTCAAGAATATT